GGGCTTGGTGTCTGAGTAAAAGAGCCATTTACCCAACACTGAATCTTGGAAACTAGTTTAGAATTCAAGTAACTGCACATACAATTTCATTTTGAAAATTCAACAAAGTTCATAATTACTAAATATGTTCATGTTTTAAAATGCACTCATAACACATGGTCACTTTCTGGAAGACAAACTTTCCAATGTTTATCTGGCACACTGTATGTTAATTTAGTCTCTAGTATTCCTATCTACTTTATTCAACAATCTATTGGCTTTACAAGACATGTCTAAAATAATATGGCTTAATTGAGGCATTTAAAATATCTATGGTTATTTTATTTAAAAAAATCAGTGATTACTGTTCCATTATCAAACTTTAATAAACTACTAGAACAGGGGAAAATATTTGTATGCCAAAGAAATTCCTCATTAAAATCATATCTTGAGTTGCTTCATTGAGTTATCACTTAGTATTTCTCTCTTTTGTTTCACTTTATAACTTTGATTAATAAGCCCTATCAAAATCAGGTATAGCTATAATCAATTCTTTAATTTAAATCATATACATATATATACATAAAACTATAAACACGTAGAGGAATAACTTGTCTATTAAAGTATAAAGAGAATCTGAGTGTATAGACGTACTCTCAATGTATTAAAAAAATAAAAAAGAAAGAAAAGAGAGACTACTGTTAAAATTTATACCACTAATTATTTTTGTGTGCCAGAATGAAAGTGCATTGTAATAGATAGGATATATTAACCAAGTGTGCAGGAAATCAAAGTCCCAAGATAGACAATGTTATTGCAGTTGGCAAGTGAATAGCGCTCTGCAGCAAAAACTGGAGAAAGTTAAGAAAATTATTTTCTTTTATGACTCTTATGCAATGGTGAGGGATGAGAAAACACAAAGAATAGAGATACTGAAATGGAAAATATCTAATGAACAGTTCCTCTCACCATCTCACTCTCTCTTCTCTTTGGTCCTATGCTGGTGATTTCTTTGCTTAAAAATCTTCCATTACCACTTCTTCAATGCCAGACCTTAAAAGTGACATTAGAAGACCCTATCCCTCCTAAAGAGCACAGGACATTTCAAAGCTTTGAAAACACATTTTCCTCCTGCAGCAGCAGAATTATGAAGGGCAGTGACCCTAGACTTAATGAAGCAAAAATTCACCCAAGCCAGAGAATGTGTTGTCTGGAGCCTTCTCCACACCCTCACTTTATCCAATTTGTGCATAAACCCCTCTGACAGTCATAGAGCTAGGTGCTGTTTTCACAAAATAACTTTTACAGAAACCTCTGTCTCTGATCATTTGTGATGCTAAAAAACAGACTATAATGTTCCCTGAGTTATAAAAGTAAAGATATTTTTCTCCAGCAAAAATTCATACTGCTCATAGCAATTGTGTTTTATAATCAGAATTAGAATGCTATTAAGATTTTAAGGTCCCTCTTGTTTGCAGTTGGCAGTATATCAGCTGTTTCAAAACCAGCAACACACAGCAGAAGACTAAACTAATTACCTCCATCCTGCTTCTACTCAGTTCTTTTTGCTCCCATGTGTCTACTCCATGCTTTCAGGGGCAAGAGATAAGCAGATGGATATGAGCAGGTGCATAGGATCTGGTGCAACCACTAGCCCTGAGTGCAATTGGTCAATACCCTTGAATCTAGTTAAAGCCTTAGTAAATGGTTCCAGACTCTAGCAGATGGTTTATTGGTCCCAGTGGTGCTGTTCGATGATATCTATGTGACTCCATATTAGGAACTAAAATCTTAGAATAAGAAGATTGCTTCTCTTTAGAATGTTCTATTTAACATTTTATGACTTTACTCCATAACCAGTGTCTTTTCCTCATAATGTTGAACTTGGCCTGGTTTTGTTTTTCTCCACAGGCAGAATGATATGAAGGGATTATCATACACGTGGATAATACTCAAAAAGATTCGAATATGTTTTCACTTTATAAACAAGGAAACAGAGTTAATAATATCTACTCTGCAAAGTAAGCCAGTTACTAGTGCATCTCAGTTTTAAAAGTTATCTTCTTAGAGGATAACAAAATATTCACTACAAAAATCTTATTTGAATAAAACATTTCTGATTTATAAACATTTTAAAATGCCTTTTCTATTTCTTATACTTTCCTAGTGTTATGAAGGCATACCTCAAATGAATGATTATGGAACATTCCTGCCAGAATATTTTTCAGTTATTAATTTAGTACTCCTTAAATCCTTATATGCCACTCTGTCCTTTTCTGTTTCTATTTTTCTTCCCCACCACTGCCTATTTTCCAATGCCATGTTTTTAATAAAAGGCTATTTTAAAAGTTGATATCTTGAACAAATATGCCTAAATTTCCTATGTTCTATGGTTGTGTTTGCTAATCAGGGATTGGAATTCAGCTTTTATAACTCCAAGGAGAATGTAAATTGTCTCTTTGGCTTCAACATACATGCCCACACTGACTGGCACTGCAGCATCATTTTCCCATCCCAGAACTGGAGCTCTGAAGAAGAAAAAGTCACAGGGAAGTGTGTAGGAACAGAATCAAGGGAATGCATCTTCACAATGACTGTCCTGAGGATATTCCCAGGTTACAGCCCTTCCTTCCTTGGGGAAGATGTACAATTAGTTTTTATTTTCAGTCAGGCAAGGTCTCCATCTATCTTTCTAATGGATGGATGATATCTGAACAATTTATCCTTCCCAGAAAATCAGAAAAGCTTCCAAAATGAAAATTAGAAAATTGTTATACTATTCTTAAATATAACTTTAAATATATCCACTAGAAGAAGAGTCACATGAACCCAAATTTCAAGGTATTTCTCTTTTATCTCTGGTAATCAAGTGATGATTGCTTTTACTCGAATGTTTGTAATTATATAAAAAAAATGAGAGAACTCAAGTGATGTATGTACAGGAAAAGGAGCCTAATGAGACTGATGGTGGATTTTTTTCTTTGTCCACAGGAAGATATAAAATGGCTACTCTTGTGGGTTGAAAGGTGTTCTTTTTGTCCCATCCTTCTCTCCAAAGTCTTACATTAATGAACTAACTTCTAGTACCTCAGATTGGGGCCTCTTTTAAAGACAGGTCCTTGGCAGAAGTAAGTTAATCAAGTTAAAGTCAAGTCATTAGTAGGGCTCTAATTTAGCATGACTAGTGTTCTTATAAGGAGAAATTTAGAAACAGCTATAGGAAAATACTACGTGAACATGAAAAAGGCCATCTAAAAGCCAAGGGGACAGTCCTGAAACAGAGCTTTCTCTCACAGTCCTCATAAGGAACCACCATGTTGAAACTTTTATTTAGGGTTTCTCTCCTGGGAGGAAGTAAATTATAATTTAAGTCACCTAGTTTTTGATACTTTATTACAGCAATCCTAGCAAACTAATACAGCTAGCGACTTCATTTTGTATCCCTGGAAATGAAACTTTTATTGACACTCTTAATTGTCATTACTGCTGAAAATAACACATATCTCTATTAATTTCATGTTTGATTTCTTTATAGAAAAAAATCTATACTGCTCTTTAAATGGCAATGTTCTAAATTTCATTATAAAAGTATGCAGTGGCAGATGTAGAGGATCATCTAAAATAACGTTTATAGTCTACGATTGAATGAATAGAGGTTAAGTAGGAGTTAGAGGTCTTTTAAGGTCACCCAGTTACTTACTGGTGAAGATAGGCAAGATGGCTCTCAGTCTCTGTAATATTCTACTATAGTACAGAGCCACTCCTAGCTAGTAGTCAAGGATCACATATCATTAAAATGATTTTCCCCGTTTTTTTGTGTTAAAAAGATGTTTAAAGTCAATATGTCAGGATAATATAAACATACACTAAGATCATAAAAAATGGTTTACTCCACTAAAACAACATTCTAAAAAGTCCTTACACTTTCATAAACTTAATCAGACCATCAATATTTTCCTTTTTACATGGTAAATACATTTTGTACCATTCTGAGTTAAGCAAAGAAATTATAGGTGGCTCAGTATCTCAGAAATAATCAGGATTTTCTTTAGAATTCTATATATCCAAGCAGAGGAAACTCTTCAGAAGGTCACTTGTACCTCTGCTAGTTCTTTGAAATAATTTTTATTCTCTACATAATAGTTCACAAGTTGCACTTGTGTAAATACTCAGGTAGTTTTAAAGAAAACATTATTTTAATTCAAATTAAATAAATATCATGGAGCTAATTATTTATTGCTAGATCTTTTCTGTTTCTTCTCCAATTATTTTCTGTGATATTTATTTTGTTCTTTGAGAACAAAATCTATACTGCTATACTGCTCTTTAAAGGTATATGAGGTAGGAATCTTCAAATAGTTAATATTGAAGAGAGATTTGATTCTTCTACCCTAAAGTGTAGAACTAAGATGAATTGGTTTAAATTAGAATTAAATGATTTCAGGTCTAAACAAAAAAAAAAAACCCTTTAAGCAGAGATATGGTGTGACAGAACTGGCTGGTATGGAAGATATTCAGGTTGGTCACTGGTGATACTCTAAGCATCAGACCAAGGAGTTGGGGGACTTGTTACAGAGAAAGTTCAATCAATGATTGGTACAAATTGAATGGCCTTTGTATCCCTGTCCATTCTAGAAGTTTACATTTCTATAAACTCAGTGTTTATCTCATAAAACTGTTGCCTTCAATTAACATAAGCTTCATTCCTTGATACTCTTGACACCTTTATAAATGGTTTGCTGTGTAGTTTATTTAATTAACAAACATTTAGACAACATAAGGATGAAACATCAGTTGCCACTCTTACTATGTCAAGTTAGAGGCCAAGCTCAAGCTAGAATTTTTTCTTTGGTGCTCAGTTGTTGGTATGAAATCAGGTACTTGTTAGTACATCAGATAAGAACAACAAACTGTCTTACGATCATTAAAAAATACATGTGTTTTTGTAGTCATATTGGTCTTTGGAATTCTTTTCTAAAGAGCAAAAATAGACATAAATCATAAAATAATCAAATACTAACCTCTTTCATTTTTTCCAGTTCATTCTGTAAGGCTTGCTTTGCAATTTCAACTTCTATAAGCTGTTGCCTCAGTTTCTCATTTTCATCTTCTGTTGTTGTTCTCTTTTCTTCCACATTTTCCAATTCATGGTGAAGTCTCACAGATACATCCTTTGCAACCTAAAATAAAATGTTTGTAATAATAAAATAAAAATTTGATTCATATTGAAAGTATCAGGAGCCAATACCTCTAAAGTGGTTACCATGTGCCAGCCAGTATTCCAAATGCTTTATATATAAACCATTTACATGTATCAACCATTTAATCCTCACGACAATTCCATAAGATCAATACTATTTTCATTCCTATTTTATAAATAAAGAAACTTATTATTCCTTTTTTAAGGATACAATCTTAGAGAGTTGAAGTAACATGTTCAAGGTCACACAGCTAACAAGTTGCTGGGAAGTCAGGCTGTATACTTGTACACTACAACCATGGTAATAAATGTTCTACTGTATTTAATCACATGTAGAAAAAATTTCATATATGTTCTCTAACATAATCAGCAGGTGATGCTTCCATTATTGCCCATATTAAAGAATGGAAAAAAGCAGTTTCTACAAGTAGGGGATGTGTTTATACTTTGATCTCATAACTAGAATTCCATGTACTTAAATTTAGGGAAAATTTTAGTCCCTGATATTAGTTTTTTTTAATAACTATGAATTTTTTAATCCAAAGTTTCAAGATTGTCTTGAATATTTTAGGGGTTGAAAGAAAATTAGCATAGTCTGGTATAGAGGATTAGAACACCAGCTGTGGCTGCAACCAAGTGGGGAGTGAGCCTGATACCTCCTAGTCATGTTCTAGAACCAAGCATTTAACTTCTGTAAAAGGTGCAGCCTCTGCATCTGTAAGATGGTTCCATTAATTAGCTCTACCTTACAGAGGTGTTTTTTTTTTTTTTTTTTTTAAAAACCATGTGAAATAGTTAGGAATGCAATCATGCTTGCCACAGTGCCTGGTACCTATGGAGCGTTTGACAAATTTTAGAAAAAGAAAAAAAATTTAATATAACAATGACTTTCATAAAATTTTACTCATAGCTTTCTTTAAAAATGTATAGTAATTACATTATATTTTCATATTTTAGTGAAGTCAATACAATTAAAAGTATATTTGATTGTCTGACTTCACAAATTTAATATCTGGTTTGCATTCTCAATGAACTTCCTATAGTCCAACTGAACCCAAGAGAAGAGGCCACAAAAAAAAAAAATGCATTTCAAGGTTGGGATTTCTCCCCTGGGAGAGTTTCTGAGGGAACAACTTTCTTATGCTTCACTCTCCCTTTTTTCCATAGGATGCGATTTGGACAGTTTTCCTTTCAGGGAGTTACTTAAGAGGTAAGGACAGAAAGGAAGGAGTCCTGGAAGGTGAGGAGTGGAAACTTGGAAAAAGAAACAAGACAAACACCAGATTCTAAATCAAGGCCACAGTCTGAGCAGTGCCACGCCCATGTTTCAGCCTAGTAGGAACGTAGCCTCTTCCCACCGCTTCTGAGAGAGCTATGGTTAAAATAGCAGAGCCCCCCAACAAGCTCGATCTCCTCAATAGTGTTCTTTCAACACACATCGAACTCAAATCTTTGGACCCACCTGTTTGTTCTTTCCCTTCTGGGACCCTAAGTTTTTGTGTTCAGCCAGTCACTCAGAGTCCCTAAATCTTTTGTTAGTCATAATCAAAGGACGCTGAGCCCTCAATCAAAGTCCCCACCCTCTGCCCCTGGTGCCGGCCATGAACCCCAGGCCGCGTGCTGCAGACCTTGAGGTCCTGCTCCAGGCTGCGCAACAGCTCCCCATCGATCTCCCCAGTCTGCGCGTAGCGGAGTCTCTTGCGCTCGGCTTTGCGGAGGCGGTACTGCAGGATTCGGCAGTTTTTGTTGGCTCTCTCCAACTCGTGGCGCATTTCCTGCAGTTGACAGGCATCCTCCTCGAAGAAAGTGTCCCTCATCTCGTCCATCTCAGTTCTCAGCTCATCGATCTCATTCTGAGGAGGTGACAGGTCGCGGGTCAAAATCAGCCTCTCCTCCAGCCCCTCCGACTTATACCGTACACACCCCATCCTAGCTTCAAATTCTCAACTCCCCCCCGACCCCTTCTCCAAGAGGCAGTAGTGACAAGGAGATGAATGAAGAAGAAACTTTTTTAAAAGGGCTCACTTAAGGTCTTCTCTCGCTCTGTTACTCTAGCTCGCTCCATAAAGTGGGACAGACCATAATAATTAGAGAAATGAAGGTCCAGATTTGATTTTAAGTGAAAAACCTAACGCAGATTATATCAGGTTCTGTTTCCAATCTGGACCCGGCCTAGGAAATCCACTCATTTATTGCTCGGCTTCCTCTCTAAGGCTCCCTAACAGGTTAGCGGCCTCGCACTTGCGCGGGGACACGCCCTAATCTTCCGAGGCCCACGCTTCCCCTCCCCCACTCGGTTCCCCCATCCTCCTCACCTTGAGAGTCTCATTCTCTTCTCGCAGCTTCTCCATCTCCTCCTGCATTTCTTCCTGTTCCTGGAGCTGCTGCGGGTGCGGCTGCGACGAAGGGGGCGCCGCCGCCTGCATGCCCCCGCCGCTACCACTGCTCTCTGCGCTCTGCTGGGGGCCCTCCGCTGCCGCCGCCATTGGGGAGGTGGAAGGGAGGACGAGGGGCTCACAGATGGCAGGGGCGCCCGCGACTGGGGAGCTACGGCTGCTGCTACCGCCTCCGCCGTTCTTAGTGTGCATCTGAGCCGCCGCGGCCGCTGCCGCCGCCCGCTCCTTCTTGAGGTGGAACTGGATGAGCTCAGACTGCAGACATCCTTCTTTCCAGTAGCTCCCTCCACTGCCGCTGCCGCCCCCCGCAACGCCGCTTCCGGAGTTTCTGCTGCTGGGGCCTGGGGTTTTACCCGCAGAAGAGGTGGATGGCGAAGGGGAGGCCCCCTCCCCGCCGCTGCCTCCCCTCTGCTGAGCGCGTACGCCTTTCCCTCGCCAGCCCCTGGGCGGCGGCGGCTGCGGAGCGCCCCCCTCCCTTTCCCCGGAGCCTCCGCCGGCTCCTCCTCCTTCCCCGTCCCCTCCTCCTCCTTCCCTGAGAGGAGGGGGTTCCCCGACTTTCGAGGGCACGGATTCTAGCTCACGGGATGGCTCCTCCGGCAGCCCCGGCCTCCTGCCGCCCACAGCGGCCAGGGTCGCCAAGGGGGCCGCTTCAGCACCAGCCGCAGGCTGGACAGCTCCCGGAGCAGCCCCTTTGGGCGCCAGGGGCGCCGCCTTCTCCGCCCCGCCTCCGCCTCCTCGGGCACAGGCCTGAGATGCCGCGCGGCTGGTAGCCTTGTTACCCTGCTGTTGCTGCTGCTGCTGCTGCTGCTGCTGCTGCAGCTGCTGCTGCCGAACAGAATTGAGTTTGGTGCCGGCCCCCACAGCGGACCGGTTGGCCCCGGCTGTCTGTCGGAGAGAATTTTCCCTTGGTCTAGCTGGTGACTGAGCTCGCTGCTGCTTTCTGCTGCTGCCCTCCGGGTGCAGACGAGCCTCGGTGGCTGCGGCGGCGGCAGAAGCTGCTGTTGCGGCAGGGGCAGCGCCCCCGGTCGGTGGCTGACTCATGGCGACTTAGGAAGACCCTACCGGAAGAGATTTGGAATCGTCCATCACTAGATCAGCCTCCCCGCTTACCGCCACCAACCTTCCCTTCTAAGCTGGGACAGAAACAAAAGAGGAGCAGCATACAACATGTCTGCATTGTTACAGAGCAAAGGGTGGTTTTGCTAGGAGAAGCCCCAGAAAATTATGAGCTTTGGAAGACACTTAATAGAAGCATTGACTTTAGAAATAGGACGTAGACTTGTCAATTCTCATTTTGCCCAAGGTGGCGCTGTCTCCATCTCAGTCTGTCAGTAAAACGACAGCACTTTCAAGGTATCAGATTTTGGAAAGAATAACCTATGGGGTCAAAAAGGAATCAATGGGATCAGGATATAGTAGAAAGAGGCTTCAGAGTTGTCAAACCTCTGCTTTTTCAACTTTGGCTTCTTCACCATTGAATCTACACCCTGGCTTAGTGGAAAAGGTTTCATTGAATTAGTATTCCTAAGTATCAATTAGAGGGAAAAGATTATGATGTAGACTACTGGAGAAAACTTGCTATAAATGGATTAATGACACTTTTCTTAGGCAGCACCAAGTCCCAATATTGTCTTTACAGTAATAGAAATGTAAAAATATAAATAATGAATGACTAACCCTCTGTTTCAAGAAAATAGTGGTGTTAGGAAATATATGGTTTAATGATTTATAACCCCAAAGGGATTATTTTTATCTTTAAAAATACTTTTGGAAAAGTTGATTTTCAGGTCTGCAGTTTCTTAAGTTTCAGGTAATGAATTTTCGTATGCTTACTAGTTTTGTGGTTCTTATGAATCATTTTAGTTGCAAGATAGGTATAATTGCAAGATAGAAACTACTTTCATTCTTAAGGATCTTCTTAGATGGTATATAACAGGCTAAGTTTTAAGTACGTTTAAAGTGCCCATTCCCTCCCTCTTATAGAGCCAAATTTGATGACAGAATGACCCAGCACCCAGAAGGCTGTTGCATTTTTCCTCATGATACCAAAATCAATTTCTATTGTGTATCTTTCTAAGATACATCCATCATTGCCTTCTGAAATCTGGAAAACATCAAGCAAGCTACTGCCTCATGGGTTTTTCCTAATGAGACAGTTAGCTAGTCCACTAATCAGTTTGGTGCTTTTTCCTTGGAAATGTCATTTCTCTCTAGAGCACTGAAAGGGCATTACTAGGCATAAAGCTCTTCTTGAAAAACAAAACAAAACTACTCCTCTTACAAGAGAAGATTACCTGCCACTCATTTTCCTTGAATTATTCTTGTTATTGTCTATTTTAAGTATTACAACTTAGCATGTAGTAGTCATTCATTTTATATAAAATAAAATAAAACAAAACATTACTGAAAGCTATCTTCTCTACCTCTCTTTCTGTTTTGGGCATCTCCTTCTAACTCACTTTGGAATATAAAGGCAAACAAAGATGACTGGTGGTGGGGACAGGGTGTTCATCAACTTTCTATATCTTCTACTGGAGCCACAATGCTATTAGAATATTTTGTCTACTTAATCATCATGGGTCAGCCTAACTTGGGCCACCAACAAAGTTATTTTGCCAATGCAAACTTATTTTTGTTTTAAATTAGCAGAACCACTCTTGAGCTGAGAAGCCATGAGAAAAGCTTACACTTGGACCCCAGACAGCTTTAATCCAGAAGAAAGCTTCTGGTTCCAATAGCTGGGCTCCACAATAAAAGGCACCTGACTGCTGTCACTTGACTCCCATAAAGTGACAAAATGCTGCATCTCTTCAAGTCTTCCCCTGTGAAAATTGCCACCCAAGTCACCTGACACAGCCCACATTAATAACACTTTTAATAAGGAGTTTTCCCGGCCCTCTGACCCACCCCATCTCTCATCCCCATCCCTTTAGAAATCCAGAGGAACTGCTCACTTCTCAGGAGAGACGATGTTTGGAAGAAGTTGAAGCAAATCATCAATATTCCGGAAACCTCAGGGTCTATTCCAGTGTCTTTCAGAGACCAGGAAAATTCATCTTCTTAGTATTATATGCGACTCTGGCTGAGTAAGACTTCGGGCCCGCTCTTCCCAGTTTCTCACTCACTGAATTTCTCCAAACAATGGCGGTAACCAGAAGACTCACTTGCCCTCGGAGTCGTTTACTTCTCGGCTGTGGACTGCAGGGCTTAAGGCTGCAGCTCTCAGTAGGCGAACGCTGGAGGTACCAAGCAGTGCCAGACGCTCCCCAGGAAGTGCAGTGGTATTCATGAGCTGACCTCACCGGACTGGGCAGGGGAGAAGGCGGGATTGCAAAGGAGGACAGGATAGAAGTAATGCAAGAGAGACTACTTTCAAGAGGAAAGAGAAGACAGGGACAGGGGGTCGGGGTGAGAGTGGGAGGAGGGAGACAGGAAGACAAAAAGGCCAGAGCCACGCCCGAGATGGAAGATCTGCAGCCGCACTCAAAGTCGTAGGTCCACTCTCACATCCCGTACTTGGCAGAGGATTCCAAAACCGCTTAAAATCGGATGCATTGGTTTTCTGCAAAGCTTTGTTTCGGGTCCGATCAATCTCCATCAATTATTTATTTGAGTTATTTTCCCAGGGAGGCGGACTCGAACAGCCTTCCGGGCGTGACTAGCGTCTCCAGATGCAGCTGCGAGGCGCTGGCGGGCGGCTGCTGGGAGTTCTCTTTGTTCACTCACTTTAATTCTCAGTCGAGCTCTCCACGAGGTGCTCCCTCCCCACCCCCAGGCCGGGCGGAGTCTTCGGTTGTCGTTTCCGCGAAGAGATAATGGTTGCCAGACCCAACGTCCCAGACAAAGGGTTCGGGCGAAGCCACCACCAATTTAATACAAGCCGAATAAATATCGGCTTACAGAGAGGGTTTGCAGACCAACTCGCCCTGCATCCGTTTGCCTGTCTCCTTTATTGAATGCCAGTTTCTTCGGCGAAAACAAGGAGCAAGTGCTGGGATCCACGATCTTTATTGTAGTGCACAGCAGTAACAGGAGTCAGGAAGAATGTAGTTATAGAATATCAGCTTAGAAGAGAACTAAGAATGTATGCTTTTATGTTTATTCATACGGTTACACAGTGACAATATTTTAAAAACGGGAGTAGAAAATTCTCTCTTTCCTCTCCAAGTGACTATTTATCTATTTATTATTTATTTTTGTGGGGATGGTCTGCGGGGGGGGGAGACAGGGGAACCTCCCTCCTGCCTCTAAAAATTCCTTTGTGAACTTGAAGATGAGAATAAAAAAAGTAAGACACTACTTGAGAAAAGGCAGCTTTCAAAATTAAATTTCTATTAAATTTTTATGGTGGTTGTGCAGGTAAAAAATTTTGAAATAATGAAATTATTGATGTTAACATGAACTTTAAAAGATTTTATTTTCCAAGTGGATATTTTGCCTTAACCATAAAATAAAAACAATTTGAGAGTAGCTTGCATAGAAGTAATTATTACAGCAAAATAAAAACATGTTCAAGCGCCAGAGGTTAATATTCCCAGTGACACAGGAGACAAATATGGTATTATAACAAAATCATTTCATGTCTCAAAATAGATGTTAAGAGATGATGTGTGCTTGGCCCTGTCCAAGGTGCTAGGGATACAAAGAAAAATCAAGAATTGTGCTGGGAAGGCTCAAGCTTATTGTTGAAAATTGAGATAATTTCCTTATTATTGAAATATTTCCTTATTCAAGTATTTTTTAATGGAGGAAATGTGACATCTGTGACGTATAGAATGAAAGACTCAAACATTGATAAGCATATCAAAAAAGAGGACTAGCAAAGTGAAAATGTAATTACAAGTTATTTTGAATTTACATTAGGTGATCTCATTATGTGCTCAAATTTGAGTTGTAATATACTTAAGAAATATTAAATTTACAGGTTTCTTTTAACCAAAGTAGATACAAAATGCCTAAAATATTTCTCAAGTTAATATCTTCATATAAAATATTGGCATTATAAACATAGTCTAAGGACACAAAACAGAGGCACTCCTCCTGACTTGTTACTGTATTCAGGCAGCTCTGTTTCAGTTTTTTCCGGAGGTATAAATATTTATTTCAATGCAATTAGTAACTTTAAGAAGTCTAAAAAGAATCAAGAATAGATTATCATACCTGCTTAAATTAAACAGTGTACCAAAATGTTCTACTTTATAATTTAGTAGGATATGATTTTAAGGTTAAAACTATAATAATATAGGATGACTACAAGCAATACTTAAAGAAGATGTGCCTTTACTCATATAAATATGATGTAAGAACGTGAACTTTTGAACTAGAAATTTGTCTGGTTTATTCCCTTATTTGCTGGTTTAAAGTAAATTTCTTCAATTAAGCAAACACCAAAGATGATTATTCAAACAACTTTCCAGAATCTAGAAAGACATTGGCATTATTTTTACTGTTTCAGAAGCAGGCTCATCAACTGACCTTTTAATGTCTATTTGCAGAGTAATGAATCATCTATTCTGTAGGCACAGCAAGATATGGATCTTCAATCAAGAGAAGAAGATTCAATTCTGAATCCCTAAGGAAATACATGGCTTAAAATGTCTACCCTTCAGTTATAGTGACTTTAGCCATAACACAGCATTTGAAATCTATTTGATTACAGTTTTTAAGGTACTTTCACTCTGTACACACACACACACACACACACACACACACACACACACGCACACACACACAGTGAAGTAAATCTCTTCCTCATTTAAAACACAGCGTACTTGAATTTCAGAGATGTTAAGTGATTTATTCAAGTTCACTTTCACAATCAACTTGAACTAGTTCTTTCCTCCATCAAGTCTGCTTCTTATTTGTCTCCAGTGCCTTTTTCAAATACCACAACTTAAAAATCTATATGGATAAGTCTGATTTTGTATTTGTATCCTGCTTCAATCTATTTTTACCTATGCATAAAACATCTCCATTTGGAAGTAATATTAACATTTTATTTTCCATGTGCATTTTTTTCTTTTTCCTTCAACTGGTCTCTATTTAAATCTAGTCTATCTTTCTTTTTGAAAATTCAACATATTCCATATATATTTTTCTTTTAAGGAAACCATCATTTGATATATTTTCCCATTAAACACTGGCCTTTATTGCTTTATTTTTTAATTTGCACCTATTTTCATTTTTTCTTTTATAGTTGTGGTGTCTGTGGGGTGTGTGTGCAGGAGATCAGACCCAGGGCTCTGTGCATGCTAGGCAAGCACTCTACCACTGAGCTAAACTCTCAGCCCCCTTTTCAAAAATTGTTATATTATCTTTTTTTAAATTTCCTTTGCAACAATTATCAAAATCCAGGACCTCATAATTCTGTTTAGCTTTCTGCAAGTTTCTATTAGTCTGCTGCAAATACTTCTTATATTAAATTTTAGATTCTTTTTGCCAAATCCATAGTGCCTAATGCTGCCAGTCTACACCTTTCTTATACAATACTTTCCTCATGTCACTCTGCTTATAGTCCAAACTCTTCTTCCTATACATCAAGGAAATGTACCATCCCACCCTGTACTAAAATGCTCTCCCTAATTCTTCACTGTCCACCTCCCTGACCTACTTAGATGTTTTTATTTTTTTTTTGTCTCTTACTCATAAACATTCAGGCTCATTCTGCTTATCTTACTCTTTCTTTTCCCCATACTTCACATGTTCTTCTTCTTCTGTCCAAAATCTGCCCATATTTTAAAGTTCAGCCTAAATTTCAAATCTTTCCATAATATAAACTTAGTTTTGTTAGTTAAATTTTCTAGCCTCATTTTTAAAACTTGTTTATCCATTTGTGTATTCGTATATGCAACACATATTGCTGAATTCATGTTATCAATAGTATCTAATTTGTGTGATGATTATTACAAAATGATGAAAGTAGTTCTTTATCACTGTGCATGGAAAGTGGTAATCATAACCAAAGTTAAATGATTATAATATGTCTGGCAGTATAAACTGGGAATAAACATCAGTTATCACTTTTACTATTAATATTTTATCAATATTATTACATTAATTAATCAAGTTTTGTAAATCCCAAATTTCAATAAAGTTAATTAATGTCGTATGGCCATGGTGATGTATGCCTATAAACCCAGCTACTCTGCTGGTTGAAGCAGGAGGATCTCAAGTTCGAGGTCCTTATAAGACCTTATTTCAAATAAGATTTTAAAAAGGATTGGAAAAGTAGCAGAGGCAGAAAAACTCCTGTGTTTAGTCCCCAGCAGCACACAAAAAGCATCACACTGATAGAAAAATTTAGTTCATCCTGGATTATTTTATAATCATGAATATAGATGGTAGATATATTAAGATAGTATTCCTGTTTCTCTTGTTAACTCTAAGATAGTGTTGAACAGATAGAAGCTGATAAATATGTACAAAGTGACTAGTAAAGTTCTAACAGAAAAAAATAGCTGATGTTTCTATTTTTTTTTTTTAGTAATTTAGCTCAGAGATGAGCCATTGCTTTGACTTGTACAGGTATATGTATATAGTCACATGGCATATTTGTTTTCTGGATTACTCTTAGATAATAATGAATCATAGATTTGTTGGCTTGTAAACACCATGATTTATCCTTTTAGATTTAAGTGTCTACACAAACCATATTCTACATTGTGTTTAGCCTAATTTTAGGCACCAAAATAAGGGTTGTCCTATAATCAGAGTAAATGCATATATGTGAGAGTTTAACATTACAGTTTAACATTCTGACCAAACCCTTTTAGTTTAATTCTTATATTAGACAATGATATTGGTAATGAGAGAAATTACCTTGCCATGATTGGTTTAGTTACCCACGTCTCTGCTGTTGTTACATTCACTGTTGAGTCTTAATAGTCAAACTTCTAATATGTTATTACTATAAATTCTCAAGAATATTCAATTTTCAAAATTCAACCCAATGTTTAGCCATTGTATTTTTCAATGATGGATTGCAACTTGGCCTCATTTTCAATCTTGTCTTAGTCTTAGTGGAGATTTTTAACAAGTCTGATATTTATTATACAAATGCTATCCACTTTCAGGATGACCATTAAATTTTCTTCTAACATCACTAGTTTAATAAGTTGAAATCATCTAATTTTCTATAGAAGCATTTTTTTAGTTGTAGATGGACACAATATCTTTATTTTACTTATTTACTTATTTTATGTGGTACTGTGGATTGAACCCAGTGCTTCACACATGTGAGGCAAGTGCTTAACCACTGAGCTACGACCTCAGCCCTATAGAAGTGTTTTAATAAACTGTATCTCACCTATCCTGTATCTTCCGGCATTCTCAGCATCCATTAATAATTATTATGCTTTAAGATGAACACAATTTCTGGGTGTGGTGGCACATGCCTGTAATCCCAGCAGCTCTGGAGTCTGAGGCTGTAAGATCATGAGTTCAAGGCTTTTGCCTCAGCAAAAGCAAGGTGTTAGCAAATCAGTGAGGCCCTGTCTCTAAATAAAATACAAAATAGGGGTGGGGGATGTGGCTCAGTGGTTGAGTGCCCCTGAGTTCAATCCCCAGTACCAAAAAAAAAAAAAAAAAGCACAATAGATCAATTCTCATATGCCAGAACAGTAAGAATAATTTCGTAAGTTACTCTATATTTCTCTTGGTATTTTAGTACAAGTTGTACTTTTCTAGTTTCTATCTTTTCCCTTGCTCTCTGAATATAAGGAAAAAAAATGTCTGAGGGTTCTATGTA